ATCGCTTACATTTCCATTTTTACCTCCGATCTCGAAACATTTTAAAAGCTCCCCGATAATTGGACGCACGATCTCTTCCCAAGATATAAAAAGGGTGAAGTAATACCGAAACGATGATACTACAGCCGGTACTACTTTGCGAGCGTTGCAATTCCTATGAGACAAGGAAGAGACTGGCGCCGGACGCCTCCAATTGCACAAGATCGTGTAATAATACAACTAAAGGTTACATGCATATACATATTCGTACGTATATACTGCAGAGTCTTCGGAACATTGAGGCATTAGTGCCGCGACGAAACGAAACCCTCGAGTGTGCGCGTTCCGCTGCAACAATTTCCTTGATCGATAGTTTTGCCAACAAATAGAAACATTCCCGACACCTTCCTGCTCACGTGGAAGTGAAATTCAAGTAATGCTCGTTTCTCGGGGTTATTATCTATTCAATGGGAAGGACAAGCGAAATTTCCCCCCGTAAAGATTTGACATTTTAACCTTATGAAAAATCAATTGAGAGAGATCATTGTCTCGATTGAAGTTCGAATCTTGAAATTATTTTAAACGTCGTTGCGGTTTGCGGGTAGGTGGAAGTTAGCTTCCGGTGCGCGAGGGTGTTTTCCATGATTTCAGAGGGGAAGCTGGAGCGCTAAATTTTGATAGATCCCGCGGGTCGGTGGTCCCGCGATACTTAGACATTCGTAGAGACAGCGCCGTGAGTCGCACGCACGGATAAAGGATCGACCGTAGCGATTCCGACAGGAATTCCCGATGAGATGGGCGGAAAGTACAAAGGTTCGACGCGCTTCGGCGGTTCTCGGTACGTCGGGCTTCCGGTCGAATTCGGCTAGCTCCGATCGGCCTCGTGTGCACTCGTCTAGGATCGGGCTGCCTAGTGGGGTCTACATCGTGCAGGATGGGTAGTAGCGGCGCACCGCGAGACCGGCAGTTTTGCGCCCCGTGCAACGGCCAATCGGCCAGTTCGTCGCCGGCTGTTCGTGAAAGAGGTATTTTCACATATCGTTCTGCGTTTGCTCTCCAATCGGAGAACCTTCTGCATCATTGTCCACCGATTTTGCCTTCGCTAGTTTCTCTCTATTTCTTGCCTGTCTGCCTCGTGTACTTCCCCGATTTTCATATTGCTCCTTTCTTACGTGGTACGGTACTTTGTTTCCTTTGTCCCTCTTGTTGTTTCGTCAGATAATCAGATCTACGTCAGTTCCTTTTCTTAACGTGGTTCACGCGATTGACGAACATCTTCGAAAGTCTCTCTCTCTTCAATCATGGATCCGTAAGTGCGTACCATTCGTTGCCACGTATGTCGGTATGCGAGCTGAATTGTCGAGTGTGTTTGGTGACGTGTTAAAACGCGGCCATTTCCACCGGCCGTGAACGAGATAGAGAGCATGTTGCGTGAGATAGAGAGTGTGTGTGTGAGAGAGAGAAAGAGAGTATGCATACGAAAGGAATAGAAAGAGAGAGAAAGTTTTAAAAGACATTGATACCTTTATATAAGTTTATAACTTGGAATTTGCAAGTTCATCGTCACTGTGATCGCGCTTTCTTTTAGTTCTCTTTTCCTTCTCTTTGTACTTCTTTTATTCTCGTGCACTAGTAACATGAACGTTAGAAAGCGATTGAGAGAAAAGAACGAAGATGGTCGGTTATAATACGTTCAGGTGCTGGAGGGTTAATTCGAGGATGGGGAGTTCCTCGAATTACAAATTTCCGCACATGGTGTAACATGTTTAGTCAAGGAGGGAAGAAAAAGAGGGATGACAATCAGGAGAGGAAAACGAGAGACGGGATCTTTTAGTATCGGGGACATATAAGTCGCGTCGAAAGTAATTTGGAACGGCGACTGTCACGCGTGCCGGCTCATGCCGGTTTTACACCGCATTCCGGCCAAGCTTTACCAAACGAAGGCGATCTTTCGATATCGAAATCTTCAGAAATAACGACAGTGATTCAACAGTTTTTTTTTTTGGTGATGCCCGGAATTCGAAAAAGAAGAGATTGGCGATCGATGTGGCGAAAAGAAACGAGGAAACGTCCCGTAACAGTGGTGTGCCGCTGGCTAAACTGCCGGCTAACCTCGTTCACCGGAAGAGAAAACACGTGCACGCCAGTCAGGTAAATTACTCGCTTGTTTTCACTTTAACTCATTTAATTGTTACTGAGCTTGCAGTCTTCGTGGTTCTCCGACATTACTACCTTCTCGAATGTAACGTATATCGCGTTACGAAAACAGTCGATCACGAATCGGCTGAATATTTAAGAAACTAACCTAAACGATTAAACGCGATCGTATTTTTAGATTATACTTTTTCAAAGAAATCTCGATTTTCTTGTACGTTAAAAAATGAATTAGTGTTCTACTTGTCGTTCCCCTTCGTGTACACGATGGATCGGATCACTTATTTTTAGAATTAACGACGTTACATTGATCCACGTTGAAACTGTAAGCTCGTTTCTTTCATTTGTTCCCGCATCACTTTCGGTAGAAAAAA